GCGACAGAGCAAGATTCTGTCTCTAATATATATATATAATATAATATAAAGAATAAAGATACAGTAAAATTATGAACAGAATTGATTTTTCTAGTAGCTGATTTAGGACAGATTCTTTTTCTCCACCTTCAATATTTCACTCCTAAATATTTCATTAAAAATTCTTGTCGCAATAAAAACAACACAAAAAATCAAATAAATGAAACGTGTTATTCTTTTGTATTGTCTTAAAAATACAACTCCCCCTCTCCAATTATACAGTGATATTTTGTACCTTTTTTTACGAAATAATGTAAAGGATTTTAATGAATATATACGTTACATTTAATTATATCAATTCGTAAAAAATATGCTAATAAGTAAAATAATACTTCAACTGTGGAAACAACTACTTTATGAAGTTAATGATTTCTCTTGCGTCGTTCTATAACTCTTTTTTTTATTTTGAAAATTAGTTAATGCATTATACAATTGTAGTGTAGTTAACATCTTCCTTGATATCTGACATGCAATTACCAATTAGACAGTGTAAGATGAATAAAATGATGCAAAAAAAGTCATGAAAGACATACTCACGAAGTTAATTGTATCGTTAATTGTAATTTATCCTCAAATTATATTGAGGATAAATTAGTTTTTCATGAATAATTTCGTCATAAAAAATATAAGGTTCTGTAATGTAAAGATACATGAATATTTCATTCCCTTTCAGCTATAATTTAAGATGAAATTATTCTATATTTCAAATTTTGTGATTCTCGTTTTAATAGATTTCGAATATTTAAAGATGTTTATTTATATATATATATATTATAATATAGTACAAACTATATGTCCTATTTTAATAACACTACTTATTTAATAATTTTTAAAAAGGAATGCTTAAATGAAATGAAGAATGCTATATTTAAAGTTAAATTTGCTCTAAGGAATTATACAATCAAACCATTTTTAGACTAATTACATATTTTACTCGATATACAATTTACTAGAAGGGCATTTCATGATCAATGAATATATTTATTCGTCAGATTTTATTTCCATAAATTTTAATGATTTATATTATTTATTTTAATTATTATATATTTTATGAATTTTTATATTTTAATTATTTTACTTATCTATGGACTTTTTTGAAGACATCCTTTCATTGAAACTAAATTTGCTTTAAGGAATCTTACAATCATAGCATTGAAAATCTAACTGCATATCTAACTTGATATACAATTACTAAAGGGACATTTCATGGTCAATGATTTTATTTATTATTCTGATTTAATTACTTTCGTTAAGATTAAAAAAAGAAACAGGCAAAACCAAAGGATAAGAAAACAGATTTAAATAATTCTGCAATATGTATTTCACTTGCTAAAATAAGTAATTATTTCAATTTTAATTACCAAAAAAATCCAGCAAAATATACTTCTTTTATTGAAATAATAAACTATTTTAAATTTACATTTTCTTACTTTCAGTTATAATTCGAAAATTTATTCTATGTTGCAAATTTCTTTACTTTCGTTTTAATAAATTTCGAAAATTTTATCATTTTTACTACGCGTATATTTAAAAATAAACTACATGCTGTATTTCTGTACTTTAATGATTGTACTTATTTATGCATTTTTTCCACAGTTTCATTTCATTGAATACTAATTTATTCTAAAGAAACATACAGTCAATGCATTGATAGTCTAATTACATATCTCACTTGATATGCAATTCGCTAATTGGACATTTCATGGTCAATGAGTATCTTTCCGTCTTATTTCTTGTGTCGAGTGTTTTCAAGTGGGGAAAGAAATCGAGTAAAACGAAAGAATCGGTCTGTGTTTAAATGGGAAGCTTTAATTACAAAATTCACCAAATTTAAATACAAGAGCCAAGAGAGACGGAACGTGATTTAATTAAAAGAGTAGGAAACCATTAATGGTTTTGTGTAATGAGAAAATCATTTTTTCTGCACAACTTTTAAATAACGTATATTTAACATCGTGAAAAGAATTGTAATAGCTAGTTCTTTCTTCTAACTTTAAAAAAAAATTAATTTTCAGATCTTTTAAAGATGAAAGTGCTTTTTTACTTCCGGATTTATTTCAAGTACTTTAAATATCACCGAATAAAAATAGATTTTACTGTATTAATAACTGAAAATTAACGGAAAATTAACGGCATTTTTTAATTAACGGAAGAATATAATCTGATTAGTTTATTTCTCTTCATATTACGAGTAATTTCATACACATTATTAGAGAGTATGGAACTTGCAGAACCATAATATCTTTCCTATTTCCAAAACATTTACTGTTATATTAATTTGAACCATATTTTTAAGGATTTTTATTATAAAAATGCGTTATTAAAACCGTATTGACGTACTTTTTTTATTTGCAAAGAGAGGGACGAAACGTGATTTGATTTAAAAGAGTAAGAAACTATTAATGGTTTTGGGCAATGAGAAAATCATTTTTTTACATGTAACTTTCAAATAATATTTATTGAACATCACGGATAGCTAGTTCTGCCTGATAATTTAAAGAACAATAAATTTTTACATCCTTAAAAGATGAAAGGAATTTTACATACTTAGAAAATAAATGAATTAAATACAGCGATGCATAATACATCTAAGCTACTGACATGTTTTTAGCGTTTATGTTATGAAGCATTTAAAATCGTTAGATTATATGGTGACCCATATATAATTAGTTTTTAAATATTACTTATTTTCATTTCAAATTTTAAACGGAACAGTTATACTGTGTTTCTAACATTCATTTTAAAAGTTGTCAACTGATTGAAATTGTTTGTAAAGAGCCAAATTCATTTCAGCACAAAACAAACAATTATGCATTTATATATTTTTCAAAGTATTTATTATTTTTCAGTATTAAATATAATGAAGTCATTCAGTCATTTTTTTTGTTATGTAATTTGTAAAATAATTTATATTTCCAAATACTAGGGCAGATTTCAAAGAGAACTAACTTGGTAGCAAGTGAAATGTACTTGATTCCAAGGTAAACCATATAATATTGCGTAGTAATCTTTGAGAGTAGGTCAGAGATTTTATATTTTATTTTATTTTATAACCATCGTTGAACAATCGACCCAATATTTTTGGTTTATGACAACTTCTGTTAAACTCCGTAGCCTTGTAATTATGAATCCAATCCACGAGACAATGGAACTCCTGGATCAAGTATTGGGAGAAATTTGTCTTAGTGGATGATTTTTGATGCAACTTACCCCATTCGCGTTACACGGAGAGGACAACCACGAGAATGTCCCACGGTTATTCTGACGGCAAAGGAACTCTAACCCATGATCCGTCTTTCACTGAGGATATTTCACGTCAGCATTGTGGTCGGTGCAAGCCGGATGTGTATTCGTATTGACCAGCCATCACTGGGGATTCAAACCCGATTCACCTCATTGGAATGTGAAAGCCTGGTGGATTGGGTACTGGGCCCATGTCCAAGAGTTTGTGGGTTCGTTCCCCGCCGGCAAAGACTTCCGGTGTAGTAAATAGTGACTGATGCACGTTAAATCTGTCAAGTCGCAAAGTCCTCCATGTTCCCCTAACAAATTAAAACCTTTGGGTGTATTGGTGCAGAAGTTCCCTTGTCTTCTGGATTGGTTCAAAATTACAAGGATATGGAGTTTAACATTAGTAGTCATAAACCCAAAATTGGATCGGCTGCTCAACGAAGGATATATATATATAGGTGGGAGATTTTTTATTTTTATTTTATAACTGTCGTTGAGCAGCGGATTCAATTTTATGGTTTTACGACTACTAATGTTCAACTCCGTAGCCTGGTAATTTTGAACCCAATCCAGAAAGACAAGGGAACTCCTGGATCGAGTATTGGGAGAAATCTGCCTTTGTGGAGGATTTTTTGATGAAGCTAACCCGCATTTCGTTACATGGAGAGGAAGATCACGAGAACCTCCCACGGTTAGCCTGGCGGCAAGGGGACTCTAACCCATGATCCGTCTACCACTGAGGATACGATTTCACGTCATCAGTGCGGTCGGTGCAAGCCGGATGCAGATTTCGTATCGGCTGGGATTCGAACTCGGTTCGCCTCATTGGAAGGCGAACGCTCTATCCCCTGAGCCATCGAGGCTTTATAGGTGAGAGATTGCAAATAAGGAAGTGACCCACTTTTGTGAATACTTACGTTTCTTAAAATACTGCTGCAATTTATGACAATCGGCAGCACTGGTCGCACTTCGTCTTACCAATGGTGAAAGGTTCTCAATGTTTTTCTCTCCAATCAACATAAAAACAAACAAATTTAGCTCTATCAAAAAGTTCTCCATCAAAAGATTGTTAGTCCCAAGGTCTGATTTAGGAGTTCTCCTGTGTTCTGTGTTAAGTTCATAATAACAAGGCTAAGGAGTTAAAAATCGATAGCTGTATTTCCAAAAAATATGTTGACCGGTTATAAAGAATTGTATTTAATATGTATTTGAAAAAGTGGTCGTCCACGAAACTTTTTTGAACATAATAATCATATTCCTTAAATGCTTATTTGTGATCTGTTTCTAAAGGTTA